TGATCTAGCAGTAGCCTGCAGTGCTGCATTTAACCACTGCGCTACCTTGGCTCAGGGTAAGGTCCAGACCTCTGGGGGTAGCTGATTCCACAGGGTCGGAGCAGCCACAGAGAAGGCTCTCCTCCGGGGGCCCGCCAGCCGACACTGTCCGGCTGACGGCATCCGAAGGAGGCCCACCCTGTGGGATCTTATCGGCCATTGGGAGGTGTGTGGCAGTAGGCGGTCTCGCAGATACGCTGGTCCTGAGCCATGTAGGGCTTTAAAGACACAAGAATATGTCTTCCATCAGAGATGTTGACAGAATAACTGTTCCATCAAGATGTTGAAATGAGCACTGTGGCACTGCTCCTTATATAAGTGTGTGTGTGTGTGTGTGTGTGTGTGTGCATGCTGTCATGATAGACTTATACAAGAGGTAGGGTTTGTATCACAACCCTCCTATTATTTGCCTTCCTCCCCAAAGCTTTGTCTCCCACCTTCTCTGTTACTAACAAAGCTTCGAATCAAGCAGTAAACATAGCTCTGAATTTCTTCTCACCTCTTTCCGTGTTTTAAATTTTTTTAATTAATTAATGAAATTCCATTGATTTGGGTCTCCTTCCTCTTTACAGGATCTAGAAAAAGAAATCTCCAGATATCCTGTTTTATTTAATAGTTGGTTTAGAAGGAGAGGAATGAGGTAGCCATATAAAAACAAAGTGCTGAGTCAGAAAAGCCGGAAGCCCGTGAAAATATATCACTTTGTATACATGGATCCTATTTAAGGGCCAGGTAGAAAGTATATTCAAGAAGAAAATCTGAAATATATGGACACATCAATAGACAATACATGAGTTCTTGCAGCTCAACTAGAGATCATCTGTGGACATTTTTAATTTCACAATCCTCTAGGCAGCTGCATTTGTGCTAGAGTTCATCTGGTTTTGTCAGGTTCATTTAAAAAAAACCCCAGTGAAAATCCTGTTTTAGGGATTTATTTTTTTACAGTTTCCATGCATTTCCCAGCTCAAAAGGATGGGAATGCACACTGCAACTTTTCAGAGGCATAGTCAGTTGAACTCCAATGGCCATGTTTGGGAGATACAAATGGCTCCCACTTAGAACATTATAAGACAACACAACATTATATCTTAATATTTATTTAGCTTTATGTCCTGATTCTTCCTCCCACCTCCTTCTTTCCTAGGAGAAAAGTAAAATACACGCCAGTGCCAAGATGATATAATATACATTATGTAAGATTTACAGGGCAAGAAATTCTGTAGCAATTTCCTGAATGGCAACTGGCTCTGATAAGAAATGGCGCCTTCTAACATGGTCGTTCCAATGGCCAAGCCAGACAAACATTATTCGTGAGCATAATGTTTCTGGAAGTTGTTGCTCAAAGAGATCTATCCCTTGAAAAAGAAATATCCTGTTCCTATATCCTGTTGGCATCTTAGCATACACTATCTTGAATACCAATAGTTTCCATTTGCACATTTTTGTGATTTGGGGACTGACGTTTGATTTTAATGCATAAATGGCTATCAGCAATACGTTTGGGTAGATGTGATTTTGAAAAGCCACATGCAAGTTTTTAATGAACATGTAATCTAAAAATACCCCCCAAAATGTGTTCATCTAATATATGTATATATATTTTAATCTTTTAAGCAAACTGTTAACTTGCTTTATGGCCTACTGCTGGCAGAGTTTGCAAGCTGGAAGGAAGATTACTTAAAGAACATGAGGCAGTGTCATTTTTCAGTTTAGCAGTTCCTTCCCCATCTCCATCCTTTTATGTACGCTGTATTTTTGGCTGTTATTTTTGTGTTTCCTGAAGCCCACTTTAATATAATACATTGCCTTTTTTCGGTAGGTGAGGGTCTACTCTTGAAGGAAGAATTGATGGGCATAGCTTGGTCGACAACCATTCCAAGATTCAGCATACATTTTTCTATTATGCCTTTAGGTTGGGAAAGGATTTATGAATTGTTTTGTATCTTTTCTTGATCTGAATGTGAGCTGTGTAGATGCTTAAGATATAGTGGAGCTTCTTTTTCACTTTCTATGTATGTGTTGTTTTTTTCTTTTTCTCATTTGTTGGAAAAGGTTTTTTTATTTTAAAGGCATATGATTTATAGGAGTAGTTGCAGGAAACTTGAATCACTTTCTGATGTTTGGAAAAAAGCCTGAAGAAATTGTGAAGCTGGAAGAAACAGAAACTCTTCTTCTCTAAGTGGTTGTACACATTTTTTGAGGTGTGCGTGTTTGAATTCTGGAGACTGCATGGACAAATTCCTGCAGTTTTCTTGGCAGGGATTTGTTTGGAAGTGGTTTGCCACTGCCTGCTTTCAGGGCTGGGAGGAACTGGTCCAGCTGGCTTAATGCCTAAGATGGGACTCACCATCTCCTAGCTTCTAGTCTGATATAGCACTAGCACGTAGACTTATATATTGCTTCATAGTGCATTTATAGCCCTCTCTAAGCGGTTTACAGAGCCAGCATATTGCCCCAACAATCCGGGTCCTCATTTTACCCAC